GTCACGTACGCGCTTTCGTCGCGCGCGCTTTAGTCTACCGCGGTTTTGTGATGGAACCTATGATGACAGAATAGGAAAAGAGGGGGGCAGCCTCAATGGGACAGACAGCCTCCCGTGACCCCAATGAGACACCCCCCTCCTGTGTGCTGCAGCCCTGTGATTGACAGAGGTTTTTCTGGTGACAGACAGGGAGAGTCACAAAGGCGGGGGAAAAAAAAACAATCCACCAGCTGATTTGTCCATATGCTGTATAGTATATACCTTATCAGAAGAGCACAATCCACAGTGAGTCAGAGCAGGCACAGTAAAAGCCGCAGAGCAATTTTCCAGGTGTGTGTGTGTGAGTGAGTGAGTGTGTAATTTGACCCCACCTCTTAAAGAGATGGAGAGGTTTTTAAACTCAGCACTGAGAAAAGGCCCCTTGGTTAAAACACCTGCTGACTTCCCCTCATCCAGGCTTTCTGTTTGGGGCTGCCTGTTAAAATGATCCCGCGTTCCTTTTTTAAAAACCACCCATTTCTGCTTCCTTCATTACGGCCATGATGGCTGCCTGGCTAGAGTGGAGAAGGCCATCTGCAAAATTCCATCCATTGATTTATATTTCCTATTTCTAAGCCGTGCATTGAATCGAGGGGGTGCAGCAAGTAAAATGCAGTTGAACCGCCTTGTTCCAAATAAAACCCAGAAGAGATCTTTCATTTTCTCATCTGAATCCTCCCATTCGGTATACGGCAGTCAGCCTTGCAAGGCAAGCTGCTCATATTTTAAATAGGTCGGTGATTAAGGCTTCTGCCTCACGTGGCACTGGGGGAGGAGGGGAGGAGGAAGGGCTACCATTTCCCTCAGGGTAGGAGGATTGTGAGGATGGTGACAAAAGGAAGCTTTACTTGTTGGGACAGTCACCTCCTGCGAGCGAGGATATATCTCTTTCTAACACCATCAAAAGGTTACGTCCGCCTATCTCGGGTCCTTGGGAAAGGCTCGCAGGGTGGACAAAAATGCCAGCTCAGCCTCCAGCAAACCCTGCAATCCATCAAAATAATATATTACATTTATACGCTGCCTGACTTGCACTGACCCCCTTTTCTCTCCCACAAACATGTGTTTGAATTCATGTATCCCACCTTTATTAACTTCATTAAGTAACCCCAGGCGACCTCCTGCGTGTTTCAAACAAGAAGGCAAACGTTGAGTATTTTAAAACGAAACCTACTTGTTTCTCTTACTTGGGCTCAGCCAGGGAGGAAGGATGGGTGGGTTCAGAAGCAGATCAGGCTCTTGAGGGGAAGGGATCTGCCTCGGCTAGCTGCTCCGGGGGTGTTTTTTTTCCCCACCTCTGTGACTTTGTAGAGACTGGGCTGCCATCTGTCAAAAATGGTGTAGGGTCTGCTAGGGCAGAGGGTTAGACTAGATGACCCGCAAAGGTCGACCGTGTCCTCACTCTATTAGCTTATCGATATCGTTCCCTTTGCCCTCTAGGAGAGAATAAGGAGATTTGGGTTCCACAGCCGATTCAAGCACAAAGAATCTCCCAAAGGAGGCAACATCCTGAAAGGTAACGTTGGGAGTGGCACATGGGGTCATCGGACACCGGAAATGCACAAAGCGGGCTCCCTCCCTCCCTCCCTCCCTCCCTTGAGGGAACTCACCTTCGGTTCATGGTTCTTTCTGGTACCGTAGAGCAGAATAATGTGGCCTCCAGGCCTCCGGTCAAAGGGACTCCAGGAACGAAGGCTGGGAATAAGAACACCACAACCTCCGGCAAGGATCCAGGAAAGGTGAGCCAAGAGGAAGGCAGGTTTAAGGAGGGCAACGTGACGGCAGCCCAGCCCTGCGGGAGGCTGAGGAAAGCACAAACATTCCTTAGCCTCCCTCAGTGTTGTGAA